TTCTTCTCGGACATCGGTGGTGACTCCTCCCACATACTCTCCAGCGCCATCTACCTGACTCTAGACTCGGTGCTTTATATCATCCTCACTCTCTACTTTGACAAGATTATTCCAGGTGATGACAAATGGCTGATACTTAGACAGGCCATATATGATGCAGTTTTCTTACCTGCACCCATGGGTTACAGGAAAGAAAATCGCTTGATTTCCCCATCAACACAATTGGTGTTGATGGGGAAATCCCACCCATGGAGCTGTTCTGTTCTCCTAGCAGGGTGGTGGGATATTGCCTGTCCAATGTGGGTGTACAGTACAAAATATCAAGGGGACAGAGGATGGGAGGTCAGGGGTCACTGCTGGCAGGACAGGGGACACTGCTGACAGGACAGAGGACAGGGGTCACTACTGGCAGGGCAGAGGACAGGGTTCACTACTGGCAGGGCAGAGGACAGGGTTCACACTACTGGCAGGACAGAGGACAGGGTTCACTACTGGCAGGACAGAGGACAGGGGTCACTACTGGCAGGGCAGAGGACAGGGGCACAGCTCCTTCTTCCATCACTGCACTGCACACAGCCTGGGCACCAGCAGAAGAGTTCCGCCTCCCCACACAACGCAGAACTGAGATCAGTAAAGTGTCAGTCAAGGACAAAGGGGTTGACTTTGAGGGGGGCACAACTAAACATCTGGGGGGCATAGCCCACCCGGCACCTCCCTGCATTCGGCCATGGTCTCACATGTGCCAACAGCATCTGTCTCTGAGGGTGGAGTGCAGCATGGCCAATCTGTGTCCAAAAGAGAGGATTCCTGGAAGGATAGCATGTCCCTACTTGTCTGGAACTTTTCCCTACCACTATTCACTTTTCCAGACAGGCGGGTGACCTGTCCTTACTCTGTCCACTCAGAAACTGTGAGCCAAGCCAGGGAGCCAATCTTTTAAAAAGACTCTGCTTGACCCAAGATGGCTGCCAGAGTCACATGGGGCAGCAGCATCCAACCGGATTGCTCACCCAGTGACCCAAGAAAACACAGAGGACGATGTTCCTCTTGACTTCCTCTGCCTCTGCAAGGCCATTGTGGCTGAGCGCCACCTGCAGTGGAAAAAAAGACTGCACCTGCCCACAGGTCTAAAAGCCTCTTCATAAGCAACTCTATAACAGTCTTTATTTTGTCCTCATGGCCTTGATCAGATTTCTCTTCTCTGAATCCAGATAAACACGGGGTTAGACACGAGCCACTGTTCTGCCTGAGACCTTCATTCTGGTCAAAGAAGAAGAAGATGACTCCCGTACCACTAGGAGAAGGAGAGCGCCTAGAGGAGGATTTGGGGGACTACGTTGAACAAGTTCCAATTGAGTTACTGGGAAAAGAAGCGATCAGGTACTAGAGACTCCATTTCTGTCCATTATAGAAGACACACACAGTATTCAGCTTAAATTAAAGAGAGCCCAAAGCCCATTGATGCAGACCCCAAATATTACATAATATATATTATATTTCACAATGATCCAGGATCAAGACATATTAAGTGGGTTTGAATTGTCATGGAAGCCATGGAAGCATCCATTTTTGCCCATTTATATATACAGCACAGACTGGGATTTGTGCTTTGCAATGGTTAACAATGGCTGTGCCTTGTGGATTCTTGTCCCACAGCAAGTATATGGGACAGGAGCTTCTTAGCTGAAAATGCCTTCTTGCCGTCTGTAATAACATGAAACAGTCACAGTGCTGCTGATGACTAGAGACCTGTGATTTAGCCTTTGCAAGCTGCTATATTTCATTCATGATATATAAAAGGTCCTTTGTCACCCCAAAAATGTGACTTGGCCATGCTGTTCATGTTGAGCTGTCTTTCCCAAGCCTTTTACCCCAGAGGAACCCTTGAAATGATGTTTTTAGCTCTCAGAAAACCCCTGCTAAATGTAATTATTTGGAGGTCACTGGAAAGAATGCCCAACAGTGGTGGTCAGGATTCCAACAAACAGCTTAAAAAGATCATTGATGCCATGGTTCTGGCTTTGCTGAGTGGTGTTGGCCCTGGAACTATGCAGGCATTAGATGGGAGGTCAACCAGCCACAGCTCCAGGAAGCCCTAGAAACCTCTGGAGGAACCCTGGTTTAGATTAGTTGATATAAATTATGATTTTTAGTATCAGATCACAGAACATGTCCTAGGTCTTTTTTATGTACCGTAATTTCCTTTAAATCATCATCCTGTCCCTTCATACAGGATAAGTAATGTCAAGAAAATGTACAGCGGCAAGGACGAGAAGACAGAGGCGCTACGAGGTGATCCAATTCCTACAATGTTCCCTTCTCTTGTCTGTAATACTTTCTATAGAATGGATACATATGAGGATCTGTGTTCCACAATCCCGGGAGGAAAATTTTCCTCATCCTATTGACATCCGCTGTGTAGCTGAATGCTTCCTATTATACACTTCCCACCATTGAAGTCCATGGAAAAGCTGTCTGTCCTTCTGAGGAATTAATATGTAGAAGACAGGGGGCCATACAAATTTTACACATTGTGAATATAATGTATGTCGTAATTAAAAAGATTAAGTAGTCTATTAAAAAAATGCTGGATAAGCATTCTGTCAGCGGTCACAAATAATCCCCATATTTTGCCAGATATGTTTATTCTTATTATTGCCAGCTCTATCTAGTGGCTGTGAATAACTGGTTGCTAAGGAGCGGGCAGCTGCTGCATCCATAACAACCATGACTGGTGGGATTCCCTACTGACAGCAGAATGTAAACAAAAGAATTGAAAGCAATAAAAAAAACTAAAAAAAAACAGCATGGGGGTCTCCCCAATCCGTATCAGGCCCTTTGGGTCTGGTATGAATTTTAAAGTGAACCCCACCAAGAAGAAGTATGGTCCCCACCAAAAGGATGCATGCAGCCCAGCAGGCAAAGAAACCATACCAGTCCACATGCTCTCAACATGGGGGGTTTCCGAACCAAAGCGCCATGCTCCCAAGTTGATAAGGACAAGAGCCTTCTCCCTACAACACTGGCCCAATGGTTGTTGAGGTGTGCGCGGTGATTGATTGGAATCTGGAAGTTCCCTTCAGCAAGGGGTCACCCAGGTCCCTCCCCCCCCCCCCCAAGTAAATGAGTAGGGGGAACATAGTCCCCCGACTTATTCACCAAAAAAAGTGCAAAGTAAAAAAAAAACAAAACACAAAGACAGTTTTTGACATCATCAATCAGGATGAACACCGGCCGCTGACCCATCCGAATATGAATTTTAACGAGAACCCCACACCAAAATAATAAAAAAAAAGATGTGGGGTCCCCACCAAAAGGGTGCATACCAGATCCTTATCCATACATACAGCCTGGCAGGCCAGGAAACCATACCAGTCTATATGCTCTCAATATGGGGGGTTTTGGGGGGGGGTTCCTCCGCCCCAAAGCACCTTGTTCCCAAGTTGATAAGGACAAGGGCCTCCTCCCTACAACACTGGCCCGGTGGTTGCTGAGGTATGGGCGGTGAGTGATTGGAATCTGGAAGTTCCCTTTAACAAGGGGTCACCCAGGTCCCCCCCCCCCAACTAAATGAGCAGGGGAGCATAGTCCCCCTTCATATTTACCAAAAAAAAGTGCAAAGTAAAAAAAACAAAAGACACAAAGACAGTTTTTGACAAGTCCTTTATTCAACTCCCCCCCCCCGAAGTAGATCCAACATCAGTCACGATGAACACCAGCCACTGACCTGTATGAAAAAAAAACCCTGACCTACACCGACACTTGGCTCCCACCCATGAAGGCACCACAGAGCCTATCCATTGCTAAACAAACTAAGGGGTGGGGCCACCCAATGGCATTACCAGATGATCCCCCACCCCCTAATATCATAATCAACCTAGCATGACATCTTAAGGGGTGGGACCACCCAGTGACGTCATCAAGTGGCCCTGCCTCTATGTTTAGTGGCGATAGGTGTAGAGCTGTGATTGGAGCCCAATGTCGTATTCCACAATCTTTGTCTGTGATGGAAGTGCAATCCTCCTATATCATGTAGCCATATATTAATCACTGAAGTGTTTTACCCCCCCCCCCCCCCCCCCCAGGTCTGAATCTGGACGTCTATGAGGGACAGATCACAGCGTTACTTGGTCACAGCGGAGCTGGAAAAACCACCTTACTGAATATACTCAGCGGGATGTGCGGAGCCACTAGCGGTGAGATTTTCCTTGTGTTGTATGCTTTAGCTGTCTATATAAAATATAAAAGGCGTCACCTCACAGTGTGCGTCCAGTGCGGCACCGCAGGTGATTGCTGCATAGGGGTTTCATGCAAGCAGCCGCCACTGCTTTCAACGGGGCTGCCTCCTGCAGCTAATCATCTTGACTTCCTGCTGGGGTTCTTGTATGTAAAGGCTGAACATTAAAAAAGCTGCCCCAAGTCTATTACAGCTTTGCCAGCTTTACTTTTATAGAGCTTCAATGAGCCCTACATCTCAGAACACAGTGCTAATACCACATATGGAAACTACACAGAAGTGGACACCATTTTACTGCCGAACAGAATGAGCGATGGTGTCATTATCTTGCCGTGCATTATGGGTCCATGACTTCCTATCTGCTGATAGGACCATAACCAACCCCTGTAATACAGATGAAGGCTCAAATATACATTTTGGATGGAGATGACCTTTAACATCATTTCTTCCTCATTGTAGGATCCGCCAACATCTATGGCCATCCTCTATCAGACCTCAGTCTACGTCAGGAGCTCCGGAGAAAGATTGGCTTTTGTCCGCAGTTCGATGTCAACTTTGAGCTTCTGACGCTGAAGGAGAACTTGGAGGTTTTTGCTCAGATTAAAGGAGTTCCTAGAAGTAAAGTGAAATCCGAGGTACAAACCCATGTGCATATGCAGATAGACATCAACAAGAGACATCCTAAAATGGAAGGTTTGGATTCTTGCTGACAGGATTTATTTTATAGGTAGAAAAGGTCCTTTGTGACCTGGACATAGAGAACATTCAAGACCTGAGAGCCAATAAACTGAGTGGAGGTCAGAGGAGGAAGCTGACCCTGGCGATTGCACTATTAGGAGACCCCGAGGTAATCTTCTCAGGAAATATTTTTTGGTTTTCCTTTAAAAAAAAACTTCCACACACATTGTGAGAACCACCTTAAAGCCGAGTTCCAGTGAAAATACAAAACGAAAAACGTCAGCAGCTACAAAAACTGCAGCTGCGATCTTTTAAAAAATGGACACTCACCTGTCCCTCAATCTCGCTGTGTCCTCCCAGTATCACTGGCTGCCCTGTGTTCCCTGCGCTGGCATCTTCATTGTGGGCACCCGGCTGTGACAGCTTGTGGCTTCACAGCCGGGTGCCCAGTGCACATGTGCGAGAAGCGCTGCACTTTGTGAATGGTTCCGTAGTCTTCTGGGGTCTGTCATGTGTCCCCAGAAGACTATTGGGAGGGATGGGGGGCAACTTCAGCTACTGATAGCTTAGGCGATAGAAGTGGAAGCGGGTACCTGTCAATTTCGGGTACCTGCTCCCCACCCTGCTCCCCAAAGGTTCCAATCCTTAACAGGGAGCGGGGGACCAGTCCTTAAAGCGGAACTTCCCCTTTTGGGTGGAGCTCTGCTTTAAATAATAGGGCTTTAAGGACACTAGCTTAAAGTGGTTGTAACACTCTGAAATGAAAAATGAACAAAGCATATACCTTTATAGTGCGTACCTGCCACTGTACAAAGCACTAAGTGTAATTTCTGTCTCCTCACTCATTCCTCTGCTGCATGAGTCAGTTCTGACAGTCTATGCCAACACCAGACAATCCCAAGACATGGCCTCGCCCCCCCCCCCCCCCTTCCAGCACACAGCAGGTTATTGACAACCTCAGCTGTGCATGTTTCCCTTTGAGATTGTGGTGAGGGGGGGGTGTCCATTCCCTCAATTCAGGTCTCAGATTACACTCAGCTTCCTGCTCTGTGCTGTGCCATGTGTGACATTAGATTCCCGCCCCCTGCCTTCTGCAGCTCAAAAATTCTTTATAAAATGTGCTTTAGGAGGCTGTAGAGGAGAAAAGACTGCAGATTAAGAGGTACAACTTATAAAGGAGGGTTTGTTTAACATCTGTGTACCACCTGAGGCCAGGTCAGGTGCTTATTTTTAAAGGATAAGTTCACCTTTGGGAACATGTTACATGTTTCATCAGTTTTTGGGTGGAACGTGTAACTTGTTCCCACCACTGCCTGATTCCCCCGCCTCTCTTTGACAACCCATCACTAGCTGTCACCTTTCTGAAAAGAGCGCGGCTGTGCGGGGCTCCGTCCACACAGCCGTGTCATTCATTCACAGAGTTCTGTGAATGAAAGGTTTGCAAGTCCCAACAGCCCTTGGGGATGTCGGCTTGTAGTTCTCAATGAACTGCCACATGGTGTGTTGTTGTAGTCCATTGAGTCTTCCTGACAGACTGCATCTGCCATGGTGCAGGTCCATTGAGTCTTCCTGACAGACTGACTGTATCTGCTTGCTCGTACTGGATGTGCAGGGGGACACAGATACACTGACAGTTTGCAGGAGTCCTGCATGGCACCAGCAATCTGCTGCAAAAAATGGGCATTTATTATCCTTTAAGGATTTTTCTTGCTCAGACCTTTATTAAAGAAAAGCTCAAGTTCAACACAAGGGTTATCCACACAGGGGGTTTTAGTACCACCAAAGAAATACACATTCTTACTCCTGGGTTGAGATCTCCTCTGTCTGTGGGGGTGGACCCCTGAACCATAGTCACAACTCTAACAGTCGCCCTCCACACACCTGGGCTGCTGGTGGACCCATGTTGGAGCTTCATCCCTTCCAAGTTGCTACGAAGCCTTCGGGCCCCAGGACGCAAACCAAGTTTTACCAATCTCTGAAGAAACATAACATCCAGTGTCCCTTGAATGACATAAACACCTCGAGCCCCTTGATCTGTCTGGATGAGAACCATGGGAGATTAAAAAAAACCTTTTTAACACTGTGGCAGGACACAGCACTGTTACAACATGTATTTATTAAAAAAAAAGTTTCATAGCTTTTCATCCAGTGAGCCAGCTGGTACAATTGTTCTATGCAGATGGCACAAATTTCCAATGTTCTCCTATTATTTCCTCTACAGGTCAAATGTTATTCATTCTTAAACAATAGAGAGGTTAGGGAAAACACAGCATTATAGCCACTATATGGAGGTTTGAATCTTAGAACTGAATATGATCCACAGCCCCACCTAGTGACCATAAAGCATTGTTCCAAAACTACTCTGTTTTTTTTTTGATGAATTAAAAAGTTTAAAGCTATATAGGTAACAGAAGAATATTCGATTTTGCTTGAACAATTGTACCAACAGTTTCGCTACATGAACAGATATGCAAACTTTTTTTTTTTATAAATAGCATATCTAACATCTTACAGTTTATGGATCCTCATTTCTCTAGAATTCTGGATCACGTAGATGAGTAGTAAAATGAAAAAAAAAATATATGAAGTGAACATAACTTATGGCTTTGACTGAAGCTCTCCGTGTATTGGTGTTATACAGCACAAATTTTCCCCAATATCCCTTCTATTTTTAAAACTGCCCCTCCTTTTAGATACTTTTGCTGGATGAACCAACGGCTGGCCTTGACCCGTTCTCCAGGCACCGTGTATGGTCTGTTCTCAAGGAGCGCAAAGTTGGTCACGTCACCTTATTCAGCACGCAGTTCATGGACGAAGCTGACATCCTTGCGGGTGCGGTGCTCTAAGGTTTTGGTCTCCACCTTTGTGTTGTAATTTAAACCCTTAGGACCTCCAAGAAACTTTCCTTTCAAAAATGTAAGGAAGTCTATTCTTGTCCCTTTTCATAGCCCAAATATTTCGAAGCCAGTCAGCATGGTTGTATCTGCTGTAAATGCTCACATTTTTCCTTTAACTGTGTGGCCTTAGCCATCAGTTGTCTAGGCTATAACAAAGGATGGCTTTTAAAAGACAAGTCTCTGTAATCAGATGCATCCATTTTAGTTTATCCCAACTCTCACACCTGCTTGTCACAGCATGCAAAATGTTTTAACTTGTTGGAAATTCTTATCCATGTCTGACCCTTATCTTCTAATTTGTTTCCAGACCGCAAGGCTGTGCTCTCCAAAGGGATGCTGAAATGTGTTGGTAGCTCTTTTTTCCTAAAGAGAAAATGGGGCATTGGATATCACTTGAGGTGAGCATGGAGACCCGAACCTGCATGTAAGCCTTTGAGACTTGCAGAAGATGTAGTTGGTGCGCCAAGTATAGCATTCACCAAACAACTTCTCCAACATCTAGACTGTGGGGCAAACCATAAGGGTCTCATACCTGAACCTTCAAGAAGAGTTAGGATTCACCAACAACTCCTGTAACGTCTAGATTATGGTGCCAGCAACAGAAACCCCCTACTTGACCCTTAAGCAAGGGTTGGGATTCACCAAACAACTCTGTTAACATCTGGCCTGTGTTGCAAACACAAAGGGCCCCATACCTGAGCCTTCAAGAATGATTATGATTCACCAAAGAACTCCAACATCTAGAATGTGGTGCAAGCACAAAGGGTCTCATACCTGAAAATTCCAGAAAGAGTTAGGATTCACTAAAGAACTTCTTTGACATTTACACTGTGGTGCTAACACTAAGGGCTCCATACGTGAACCTACAAGGAAGGGTTAGGATTTACTAAACAACTCCTCTAACATTTAGCTTATTGTGCCAACACAAAGATACCTTAACCTTACAGAAAGGGTTAGGATTCACCAAACAATTATGCTATCATCTGAACCGTGTTGCAAACACCAAGGGTCTCATAACTGAACCTTCAAGGAAGGGTTAGGATTCACTAAACAACTCCTCTAACATTTAGACTGTGGTGCTAACACTAAGAGCTCCATACCTGAACCTTCAAGAATGGTTAGGATTCACCAAACAACTCCTTCAACATCTAGAATGTGGTGCAAACACAAGAGGTCTCATACCTGAAATTTCAAGAAAGGTTTAAGATTCACTAAACAACTTCTTTAACATTTAGCTTGTGGTGCCAACACAAAGGGCCCCATATGTGAACCTACAAGGAAGGCTAAGGATTCACTAAACAACTCCTCTAACATTCTAACATGTTCAGGTATGGGGTTCCTTGTGTTGGCACCATAATCTATTCTAATCTAATCTGTTGCTATCATCTAAACCGTGGTGCAAACACAAAGGGTCTCACTCATACCTGAACCTCATACCTGAACCTTCAAGGAAGGACTAGGATTCACCAAATGACTCCTCTAACATCTAGACTGTGGTGCCAACACAAAGGTCTCAATATCTGAACCTTATAGAAGGTTTAGGATTCACCAAACAACTCTGCTATCATCTAAACCGTGGTGCAAACACAAAGGGTCTCACTCATACCTGAACCTTCAAGGAAGGACTAGGATTCACCAAATGACTCCTCTAACATCTAGACTGTGGTGCCAACACAAAGGCCTCAATATCTGAAACTTATAGAAGGTTTTTAGATTCACCAAACAACTCTGCTATCATCTAAACCGTGGTGCAAACACAAAGGGTCTCATTCCTGAACCTTCAAGGAAGGGTTAGGATTCACAAAACTACTCCTCTAACATCTAGACTGTGGTGTAAACACATAGCCTCATACTTGAACCTTCAAGGAAGCTTTATTTGCCCATACTACACTACAAGTATAGAAGACCATGCCTGGTTGGGTTTATGAAAATGCAGAAATTTCTATGCTGTGGGTCAATGTGGCTAATAAAGGGGAATAAAAAAAAAAGTTTGGTCATTTTGGCATAGACCCATCTACCATTGTTGTGGCATTAAACCAGAATCTCTTCCATAGCAGGTGGTTCTTTTTAAGGCTAAGTCTGACATTTGCAGCTTCAAATGAATATCAGGTAGACCAATATGAAGGTTCCATGTCCCTCAAAAGAGAGAAGAGTGTATTAGTGATACATTTTGCCTGATAATGCTATACATACTTTGTCTTTTTGGGTAACCAGGATGCAAGTGACCCCGTCATGTGACACAGAGGCCCTCACATCATGCATAAAGCAGCACATTTCCAATGCCAAACTCAGCACTCAGAATGTGGAGGATTTGACTTTCACCCTGCCATTTGAGAGCATGGATGCCTTTGCAGGTACAGGGAACAGGTCATGGTCTAGAGCAGGGGTGTCAAACTGGCGGCCCTCCAGCTGTTGCAAAACTACAAGTCCCATCATGCCTCTACCTTTGGGAGTCAGGCGTGTAACTGTCAATCTTGCAATGACTCATGGGACTTGTATTTTGGCAACAGCTGGAGGGCCACCAGTTTGACACCTGTGGTCTAGAGTGTATAAAATGAAGGTCTATTGGACTTTCATTTGTAGTGGGTTCATAAAATACCAGGAAAAGGAAGCAGTCTCATTCCTGCTACTGCAAAGTTCCTGCCATGTTTATAAGATGCGTTTGTCAGAAAAACACACAGCATGGAGGTAAATGTAATTTATTGACTACACTAACCTCCCACTGTCCTTTCAATGAAGTTAGACATGTACAGTTGGTTTCATTACAAATCTAAATTCAGATAAAATTTTTATTATTCGGAGATTCAGATGTATCTGATTTTATGAATCCCAATAGGAATAAATTTCAACTCATCCAAAATAAATTATAATGAATTAAAATTAATTAATTTAATTAAATATGGAATTTGAGTTCAAAAATGAATTCTGAATTCAAAATGGAAACATATTGCAGTAAATACAGTAAGCAATAAAAGTGCAAAAAGATGATGATTCCTACTTAGGCTGCTTTAAAGAACAGAACAGAATAAAATAGAAAAAAAAGGATAGAATAGAACTAAATAGAATAGGAAAAAGATAGAATTGAAGAAAACAGAACAGAATAGAAATAAAAAAGATGAAAATAGAATCAAATTTCAAAATTTGAATCGATTTGAAATGAATGAATATATGAAACGAATCTGAATATACGAACCGAATTCCAAAAACAAATCATTCTAACATAATGAATATGATGAAACAAAATGATTAACTTAACAAACAAATCCGAAAGGAAATGCATTTTCCCGTCATGCTCATCTTCAGAAGTTCTCCTTTAACTATTTTTTTGCAGCTCTGTTCTCTGACCTGGAGGGACGTGTTGGACGGGACATTGTAAGTTACGGGGTCTCTGGTACCACGCTGGATGATGTGTTTCTGAAACTGGAAGGAGAGGCCGAGATTGAAAAAGGAGGTGGGCGTCATTTATATATATTTTCATATTCCAGAAGTTCTAAGGTCTGAAACTCTGCTAACTTTGAAGAACATCTAAGATGTGGTGACTGTTTTCTTTTTTGGGCTTTTTTTCCTTTATTGTCATCTGGTGGTCCTGCCAGTAACATACTACCTTTTCTGGGGTGACAATACTCACTCACTGTACTGGATCTCTGAAGGAGGCAAGACTACAGAACAAGAGTACAGAGCATATCCACCAACTCCTCTGCTCCATAACATGAGGTTAGATGTTCTGTAGTTCACAGAGAAAGGGTAAATAAAAGGCTTGAGATTTCAGCCGAGGCCGAGAATACTTGAAGTTATCAGTTTACTGGATTTCTGGCAGAATTTTACGCTTATCAGATATTGTTCATATTAAATAAAACACACTTTCAACGGTATCTTTACCAAACCAAAAAGGAACCAAATTAGAGGAGTTGATTGTTGGCGTTTACATACACTTTAGTCACATTCCAAGACTACCAACACGGTAATGAGGACTATAGTGTCAAGGCAATTAATGGCAATAAAATGTGCCAAACCGAGATCTTTGTAATTAAAGTTTTGCTGTTTTTGTACAGCACACCAAAATATAATTTTCTCATCTTGAATTACCAGATTATGGTGTTTTTGCCCATGAGCAAAATGAAGAAGAAGATCACTTCTCCTCGGAGCCGGAGGATTCGACCCTTCTGATGTCGGACTCCGGTACACCCACCATCAGCGGGATGGCGCTATGGAGACAACAGGTGCGGGCTGTGGCGAGGATCCGATACCTGAAGCTTATCCATGACATGAAAGGCTTTCGGTCCATGTAGGTGATCTACAACTAAGCTAATCTATGTCTAAAATTCTACATGATGAGATGAAGTGGTCTCAGATGATGATAGGCAATTCTATTCAATGTGTATGCTTACTCAACCTAGACATAGCTTTGTCCGAACAAAAGCAAAAATCCTAGGCTAGCTCCATCATAAACTGCCAACAAAGTGTATGTAGGAGATGCCAGGTTCCTACACAGGGCTCCAGTCTGGACACTCAAGTCAAGTCGTTAAGAAGCTGGCTTTGTACACAGAAGACCCTAGCTCACTGCTGGTGTTTAAATTCATCCCAAAGATGAATTTAAACACCAGCAGTAGGGTTAGTAGGGTTGAGGTTGGAGCTCTGTGCAAGACACTTGCGTTCCTCCACACCAAACTGTTTCCAACCATCTCTTTATAGCGTTGGCTTTCTACACAGAAGGCCTAGCTTGGAATCAGCAATCCAATTCATCCGAGATGCGTTCAGTAGGGTTGAGGTCAGAGCTCTGTGTAGGTCCTCAAGGTTCTCCACACCATACTTGTTAAACCATGTCTCTATGGAGCTGGCTTTGTAGACAGAAGACCTGGCTTGCCATCGGCATTCCAACTCATCTTAAAGGTTTTCAGTAGGGTTGAGGTCAGGGCTATGTGCAAAACACTCCAGATCCTTCACACCAAACTGGTCAAACCATGTCTTTATGGAGCTGGCTTTGTACTCAGGGGCACAGTCATGGTGAATCAGAGAAGGGTCATCACCCAACTGTTACCACAAGAATGGAAGAATATAATTGTCACATTGTCTTTGTATGATGTAGTATTAACAGTACCCTTCACTGAAGACACCTGAACCCCATTATTTGGAGGGGTGACCCCATACTTTTGGCCTTAGAGTGTATGTTTTTCCTAAAATACATACTGCTTGTATGTTATCTGTTAGGTGGAGTTGGGAACTTGGGTCTTCAAGTAGCAGGTTACTGCCAGCCACAAGTGTCAAATGCAAAGTGAAACTGCAAATAAGAGGCTCTGTGCAGTTGTCCTTAATCTAATATGCATTTAACATGTCACATTGAATTTCAGACTTCTTCTGCTGGTCCTGTTCATCCTTCCCCTGGTTACCACCGTCATATTGAGTGACAGTTTAAAGTCCATCAATACCTGGGAGCTGACTCCACACCTTTACTTCCGAAGACCCGGAGATCGGGCCTACAGATATTTCTCCAATCTTCTGCTTGTCAACACCACTGGTACGAAAGCTCCAGTTCCTGTCTCCATTCTCTCATCTTTTAGATGCTGGAAACAAAAACTGCACTGTTCATACAAATCACACACAAGGAAACATTGCCAATAGACAAGTGAAGAATTTTTTTATTGGCAGGAGAATCATATACAGACTCCTTGGGGTCTAATTATAAAAAGTTCACTGTGCAAATGCCTCAAGCATTCACACAACCATCAAACGCCATGATTGTCAGCTCCATTTAGTGGCCCTAATGCAATATTTTCCTGAGATACCCCAATGAAGAAAATACAACATTATGGCCACTAGATGGAGCTGATGATCATAGGAAATAAATATATTACTCACATTATGGCATGAATTACTCGGCTAACAGTACCACCAATGGTACAAGCAGCTCGCAGAAATCCATGTATGTGTCTTGTACAGTACTGCTGGGATCTATAGCAATATACAAATCTGCAAAAATGTTACCCAATGAGTAACAAATTTCCAACTGTAGGAGTCAACCTACAACCACCTCAGAATGTTTTTACACTTAACCTGTCCATGTTCCCTTGGCTTTCCTGTGGCATTTGATCCCTGGAGCGCTGGAGAGTTTATTCTGTTAACCTGTTCATGTCACTAAGGTTCCTTATACCGAATCCATAACCTTCCATAATGGTGACTTCCAGTATGTCTCCACATAGGTCTCCCCATTGAAAATCTGGTTCATGGTGTCATGGCTCAGGATATCGCTGTGGATGTTGTGGATGGTCCATATGATGAAAACACCACGGCCTATAACGGCGCTATAGAGATCACACGAGACAATGACAAGGTAATGAAACTTTCTTACAAAGTAACATTTCTCTACTACTAAGGATACTAAAAGTAACCCAACAGGAACCAGGACATGTCCTCTACCATATTTCTGATGTACACATCACTGTGCTGACAATACTAATAACATTAATTGCTAATCAAAAACAATCATGCTATGCATACATAGCCATAATATGTGTCACCTGACCATCACACCTATACGGGCTTGTTGGACATCCTGTTCCAAAACCATGTCCATTAATATGCAGTTGCTCCCTCCCCATCCATAAATATGGAGTTGCACCCATATGGTAATTAACATGGTGTTGCCCTCTTTGTGGCTATAGAATCCTCCACTCTTTCGGAAAGGAGTTCCACAAGATTATGGAGTTTGCCTGTGGAAATTTGTGTCCATTTATAAGATCAGGTACTGATGTTGGACGAGTAGACCTGGCTTGCCATCAGCATTCCAATTCATCCCAAAGGTGTTCAGCAGGATTGAGGTCAGAGCTCTGTGCAGGATACTCGAGTTCCTCCACACAAAACTGGTCAAACCATGTCTTTGTAGAGCTGGATTTGTACCCAGAGGCAGTCACAGTGGATCAGAGAAGGGTCTTCACCGAAATGTTACCACAAGACTGGAAGAGCACAATTTCCTGCAATGTCTTTGTATGATGTAACCTTCACTGGAGACACCTGAACCCCATTATTTTGAAGGGTGACCCCATACTTTTGGCAATAGAGTGTATGTTTTTCCTAAGATATACTGTATATCTCACTTGTGTGTCTTTAATTTACACGTTTTGGGATTTTTTTTTTAGCAAAGACACGAAGCAGAATATATTTTGGCCTAAATTTATGATGAAATGTGATTTTTTTTTAAATTTTTTTTTTTACTGGACATGTTTAATAGGAAAAGGTCAAAAATATTTTTTTCTCAAAATTGTTGGTCATTTTTTGTTTATAGCACAAAACATAAAAACACAGAGGTGATCAAATACCACCAAAAGAAAGCTGGATTTGTGGGGAAAAAAGGATGTAAATTTCATTTGGGTGCAGTGTTGCATGACCGCGCAATTTCCAATTAAAATAACACAGTGCCGTAACGCAAAAAATGGCCTGGTCAGGAAGGGGGGGAAATGCTCTGGAGGGCGACGGGTTAATATATCTTTTACTTTGTATGGTATCACTCAACACAGCTCCCCGGCTTGGGAAGACTTGAATCATTTTCTGCTTTTATTTTTTTTAGGGTTACAGGTACAAAATAATCGGAAACCCCCGAGCCCACAACTGCCTCCCGGTATTGATTAATATTATCAGCAACGCCTTTATGAGGATCCATAACTCCACAGAGAGGATCAGGGTGTGGAATGACCCCATCAACCCTGTGAGTACCTGCTTGTCCAGTTCTGGTTTACTTTGGGGTCATAGAATATGGCACAGGGTCCTCTCCAGTATTAACAGAGGGAATCTGTCAGCCTTCAGTATAGAAAACTGCCGCATATCCTTGCCAGACCTGGAGTATAGGGTGTGAGTAGTAGGCATCTCACCTCCCACTCTACTCATGCAGTCCACCTCCTCCTTCTTGCACTCAACTGAGCAAACGGAGTGGGGATGAGGAAGGGAATTTGGCCCAGGAAGAGGGGTTCAGGAGCATGCAGCTCCAATTGAACTGCTCTCTGTGCTGTGTCTGTCACAGACACAGCATAGTTCACACAACAAGATCGGTCCTACTTATCAAAGGAGCTTTCTCCGTTTATGTTACGTAAGCTCAGGATTAGCTCCATTTTCTCAGGTTAGAAGAGTGGCACAAGCATAAAGCATGGCCTCCATTCAGTGTCTTCTACCCCTCTCTGCCAATCCTTCCACTGGCCTCCATTCAGTGTCTTCCATCCCTCTCTGTTAATCCCTTCACTGGCCTCCATTCAGTGTCCTCTACCCCTCTCTGCCAATCCCTCCACTGGCCTCCATTCAGTGTCCTCCATCCCTCTCTGTCAATCCCTCCACTGGTCTCCATTCAGTGTCTGCCACCCCTCTCTGCCAATCCCTCCACTGGCCTCCATTCAGTGTCCTGCCATCCCTCCCCTCTCAGTGTCCTCCATCCCTCCAATCCCTCCACTGGCCTCCATTCAGTGTCCTCCATCCCTCTCTGCCAATCCCTCCACTGGCCTCCATTCAGTGTCCTCCATCCCTCTCTGCCAATCCCTCCACTGGTCTCCATTCAGTGTCTGCCACCCCTCTCTGCCAATCCCTCCACTGGCCTCCATTCAGTGTCTGCCACCCCTCTCTGCCAATCCCTCCACTGGCCTCCATTCAGTGTCCTCCATCCCTCTCTGCCAATCCCTCCACTGGCCTCCATTCAGTGTCCTCCATCCCCCCTCTCTCTCCATTCATTCAGTGTGCCAATCCATCCACTGGCCTCCATTCAGTGTCTGCCACCCCTCTCTGCCAATCCCTCCACTTGCCTCCATTCAGTGTCCTACACTCCTCTCTGCCAATCCCTCCACTAGCCTCCATTCAGTGTCCTCCACCCCTCTCTGCCAATCCCTCCACTGGCTTCCACTCGCCCAACGAATAAAATTAAAAATACTAACAACTTATAAAGCCATCCACAGCTCTGCCCCCAACTACATCACCAACCTGGTCTCAAAATATCAACCAAACCGCTCTCTTCGATCCTCCCAAGACCTTCTGCTCTCTAGTTCTCCTGTGTCACCTCCCCCCATGCTTGCCTCTAGGACTTCTCCTGAACTTCTCCCATCCTATGGAACTCCCTACCCCAATCTGTCTCCTAATCTATCTACCTTTAGACGATCCCTGAAAACCTCTCTCTTCAAAGAAGCCTATCCTGCTTCTACATAGTAAACCGCCATTTATTTCCTCCATCAGCTCATCCCCCCCCACAGCTATTACCTTTTCTATCACTCAACCCTTCCTCCTAGATTGTAAGCTCTCAGGATCAGGGTCCTCTGTTTCCTCTTGTACCAAATTGTATGGTAACTGTAATGTCTGCCTTCATTTTGTAAAGTGCTGAGCAAACTGTTGGCGCCATATAAATCCTGTATAATAATAATACATATAATGGATCTCTAGTTATATTTTCCTTGCACTAGTTCCTGGGGAAAGCCTTGAGTATGGGGGTACCGAAGCAACAACCAGCAGGATGAGTGGTATCAACATATAAGACAGGTTCAGTTACCACACACTATGGGGGTCTATTCCTAAAAAAGTCACAATCCAGATTCCACAAGCTGGCACAAACAATGCCTGGATTTTTTTTCTAATGTGCTAATTTCCTCTGATCACCATCTACTGTGAGGCTCTGTGAGGCTTTTACAAAGGAAACAGATAATGGCTCCTCTTCCTACACGTTCCAATGGGTGAGCTGGATGGCTGGAGGCCACCATGAGTAGTAGGGCTCACCCCCAGGAATGAGTGGGGCCCCTGTGCATGGTGGGAAAAGGAGCAGGAGCATTTTTGTTGCCCAGGCTGTGCGGTGGAGGGGAGGAACCACATGTTGAAGACTGCTAGAACGGAGAGGAAGGTAGGTATTTAACCTATAGTCATCCTTAAAAAAATTTTTTGCTTGCTTTCCAATAAAAATGTGTCCTGTAATAATTTTTCTGTCACCAGGTCATCGAGAATGCTTTCTTACTGTTTTACATTGGAATTTTGTGTATGATATTCGCGGCCGGACTTACCCCCCATTTTGCAATGACCAGCATGCAGGATATGAAGGTTAGCATACGCTATGGTGGGACTTTGTAGCTAACGTGCTTTCTGATTTAGACTTAAAGTGGACCTCTACTTTGAAAGGCCACAAAAAGGGAAGGACTAGTCACCAGTAATATCTATGGGATTCTGGCATTCGATCTTTTCTCTAATGAGCTTATATTTTCTTTAATACTGACTTACCATGCCGTGTTCTGCACTGTGTTCCTGTGTGGAGGTGGCCATGTTGTCAGAGACAGCGCTCAGATGACTGGTAGTTATCTGATGACTGTACAGAGCCAAGGAACGGATGAAACAGAAGCAGGGAGATCCTTGCTCTGCAGGTCCTCAGCTACGGCTTCCTCTCCAGCAAGGAGAACAGTGAGCAGAAGAGTAGTGAGATCAGCAGATCTCACTACAAATCTCCTGAAACTGCAAGGCTTATAAGTAGGGAGATCTTTGCACTGCAGGTCCCCAGGTACAGCTTCCTCTCCAGCAAGGAGAACAGTGAGCAACGCAATAGTGACATCAGCGAATCTCACTCCAAATCTCCTGAAACGGTCAGGCTTAGAAGTAGGGAGATCCTTGCACTGTGGGTCCTCAGGTACAACATCCTCTCTACCAAGCAGAACACTGAGCAGTACAAGAGTGACATCATCAAATTTCACTTTAAATCTCCTGTGACTAATAGGCTTGGTAACAGAGAGATCCTTGCACTGCAGATCCTCAGCTAAAGTTTCCTCTCCAGCAAGGAGAACAATAAGCAGTACACTAGTGACGTCGCAAAATCTCATTCCAAATCCCCTGAGGCTACCAGGCCTGAAAACAGGAGGATTCTTGCAGTGCAGGACCTCAGGTACAGCTTCCTCTCCAGCAAGGAGAACAATGAGTAGTAAAGTAGTGATATCAGCAAATCTCACTCCAAATCTCCTGAGAGTACCAGGCTTGGAAGCAGGATGTCTTGCACTGCAGTGGAACTAAACCTATCCATTTACCACTTACCCAAAATGGTTACAATCAAGGCATGCTAGGACTGTCACAGTTGCTTTTGCTCTCAACTGAACTGTCAAGCTAAATGGCTGGTGTCATAACTGATCCCATGTAACACACCATGGCAAAAGTGGATCTAACAGAGGTCAAGATGGGAGCTTCCTTGGCTGTAAAGGATAGGAGGGTTTAGTTCTCCAGCATGTTTCCGACTTATAAAGACTTACTAATGGGACTTCTAAGCAACTCCAGCCTAGCCTGATGGGCAAGCACTCCTATCGGGTTTAATTGCTGATAGGAATGATGGATGGGGGATATTATATCAGGAGGGCTCACAGAGGTTCTGACCTACCCCTACCACCATGACCACTAAAAAAAAAAAAAAAAGTTCTTTTGTCACCTGCTTCCATCTTAGAGATTTCCTCTCATGTTGTCACTAGCACAGGAAATGAGGAAAAACATCTCCCCCTTGAGGCCACAAAGAAGATGGTGAATGGAGCACATCTGTTTAGGAAGCCTGTAGAGCAGGGGTCTCCAAACTGCGGCCCGCTGGCCATATGTGGCTCTTTCGTTGCTTTTATCCGGTCCTTGGGGCACTCTTCTTCCCACTGATACCAATGATGGGGCGCTATTTCTCCTACTGACACCAATGATGGAGCACTATTCCTCCCAATGACACCAATGATGGGGCACTATTCCTCCCACTGACACCAATGATGGGGCACTATTCCTCCCACTGACACCAATGATGGGGCACTATTCCTCCCACTGACACCAATGATGGGACACTATTCCTTCCACTGACACCAATGATGGGGTACTATTCCTCCCAATGACACCAATGATCGGGCACTATTCCTCCCACTGATACCAATGATGGGGCATTATTCCTCCCACTGATACCAATGATGGGGCGCTATTCCTCCCACTGACACCAATGATGGGGCACTATTCCTCCCACTGATATAAATGAGGGGACACTCTTCTTCCCACTGATACCAATGATGGGGCACTATTCCTCCCAATGACACCAATGATGGAGCACTATTCCTCCCACTGATACCAATGGTGGGACACTATTCCTCCCAATGACACCAATGATGGGGCACTATTCCTTCCACTGACACCAATGATGGGGCACTATTCCTTCCACTGACACCAATGATGGAGCACTATTCCTCCCACTGATACCAATGGTGGGACACTATTCCTCCCAATGACACCAATGATGGGGCACTATTTCCTTCCACTGACACCAATGATGGGGCACTATTCCTTCCACTGACACCAATGATGGGGCACTATTCCTTCCACTGATACCAAATGATGGGGCACTATTCCTCCCACTGATACCAATGATGGGGCACTATTCCTTCCACTGATATAAATGAGGGGACACTCTTCTTCCACTGATACCAATGATGGGGCACTATTCCTCCACTGATACCAGTGATGGGGCACTATTCCTTCCACTGATACCAATGATGGGGCACTATTCCTTCCACTGACATAAATGAGGGGACACTCTTCTTCCCACTGACACCAATGATGGGGCACCATTCTTTCCACTGATACCAGTGATTGGGCACTATTCCTCCCACTGACACCAATGATGGGGCACTATTCCTTCCACTGATACCAATGATGGGGCACTATTCCTCCCACTGACACCAATGATGGGGGCACTATTCCTTCCACTGACACCAATGATGGGGCACTATTCCTCCCACTGACACCAATGATGGGGCTACTATTCCTTCCACTGACACCAATGATGGATCACTATTCCTTTCACTGATACCAATGATGGGGCACTATTCCTTCCACTGACACCAATGATGGAGCACTATTCCCCCCACTGAAACCAATGATGGGGCACTATTTCTCCCACTGATACCAATGATGGGGCACTATTCCTCCCACTGACACCACCAATGATGGGGCACTATTCCTCCCAATGACACCAATGATGGGGCACTATTCCTCCCAATGACACCAATGATCGGGCACTATTGCTCCCACTGATACCAATGATAGGGTAATACTCCTTCCACTGACACCAATTATGGGATACTATTCCTCCCAATTATGTAATTTTTTTTAACTCCCATAACTCCCATTTAGTAAACCAAGCCCATGGCATTTTCTATTCCCACTGACCACAGTCCAGTCCCCCCATAAAGACTGAAGGGCAGTTAACTGGCCCTTTCTTTCAAAAGTTTGGAGACCCCCGCTGTAGAGTAAGGTCCAGCTTGGTGATCTTTTTTCTATCTGTCATCCTTGATCGCACCCACCGATTCTTTCTCCTTCCAGATCAAAGCTCGTTCCCAGCTGCGTATTTCCGGCCTTTTCCCATCCGCATACTGGTTTGGACAAGCCCTGGTGGACGTCGCCCTCTCTTGGCTCCTCCTTTTCCTGATGATCGCCATCCTGTTTGGGTTCAGCCATACCATCCATCTGTCGTTCCGTAACGCGGTGCTCCTTGTGAGTATCATCGCTCAGCTTTTCACAGCCGTGCGTTTAGCTGAACCTCTGAAATCTGAGTGATGTAAAACCCAACCAGACTTTTCATTTTAAATCAGCTGAACACATTCCGGGTGCATCAAGGCGAGCCAAGTCTTACAGTTGGTTTTCTTGTGAAAGCAGCCTCAGCCTCAGTAGAAGAGCCTATCCCTTCCAAGCAGCTTCAGAGAAGGACCCTTGCTCTATGTGTGGAAGCAGTGGTCTCTCTGCAGAGGTCCGACACTCCCCTGCGGAGTTACAGGCAGAGCTCTCCAGTCAGCAAGAAGTATGAACTTTCTGATTGCACAGCTGAGGCCTGCCACGCAGGGGGTGTGTTGGTCCTCTCCAGGGAGACCTTGCCAACACACATTGTTCAGGCCTGGTCCTTCGATGTCATCATCAGGAAGCTGGTACAAAGCAATGATGACATCACTGGGTCTCTGTGCTTCTCTAAGAGCAGACAGATAATGGCTGGTGGGAGGGGCTGGCAGGGTGCTGTACATAGCTTCCTATAAACATCCCCGCACCCTGCCTCAGTACTCCACTCAAGAGATCTCAGTCCTGATGCAAGCAGTGGGAGGAGTTATGCAAATATCAAAATACCTTGAAGGTGGATGTCAGTCTGGAGGAGTGGGAGAACCAAATCAGACTGTATTTGCATGCAGACCACCCTAGGTATTGCCCACGTGTGATGCTGTGCCTCCATGATTGAAAGAACTGAAATACAATGAAAGAAAGGGGCTGTCCAGCCAGGAAATGGGGCGGAGCTCTATCTGACTTGTTGCAGCTTCTTATCACACTGTGATGGGGACACCTGTTGTATGGGGCACTGTGATGGGGACACTGTTGTATGGGGCACTGTGATGGGGACACCTGTTGTATGGGGCACTGTGATGGGGACACCTGCTGTATGGGGCACTGTGATGGGGACACCTGTTGTATGGGGCACTGTGATGGGGACACCTGCTGTATGGGGCACTGTGATGGGGACACCAGTTTTATGGGGCACTGTGATGGGGACACCTGTTGTATGGGGCACTGTGATGGGGACACCTGTTATATGGGGCACTGTGATGGGGACACCTGTTGTATGGGGCACTGTGATGGGGACACCAGTTTTATGGGGCACTGTGATGGGGACACCTGTTGTATGGGGCACTGTGATGGGGACACCTGTTGTATGGGGCACTGTGATGGGGACACCTGTTGTATGGGGCACTGTGATGGGGGAATCTGATGTATGGGGCACTGTGATGGGGGAATCTGGTGTATGGGGGTGCTGGGATGGGGACACCTAATGTATGGGGGCGCTGTTATAGGGACACCTGATGTATGGGGGCGCTGTGATAGGGACACCTGATGTATGGGGGTGTTATGATAGGGACACCTGATGTATGGGGGTGTTATGATAGGGACATCTGATGTATTGGGGGGCTATGATAGGGACACCTGATGTATGGGGGTGAAGTGATGGAGACACCTGATGTATAGGGGCGCTGTTATAGGGACACCTGATGTATGGGGGTGCAGTGATGGGGACACCTGATGTATGGGGGCGCTATGATAGGGACACCTGATGTATGGGGGCGCAGTGATAGGTACATCTGCTGCTTGGGAGCACTGTGGTGGGGACACCTGATGTATGGGGGCGCTATGATAGGGACACCTGATGTATGGGGCGCAGTGATAGGTACATCTGCTGCTTAGAGGCACTGTGGTGGGGACACCTGATGTAGGCTGGCAGGGGCCCCCAGTTCAGTACTTTGTCAATGGGCTCATGATGCTATTAAGACAGCACTGACAACACCTTCATGACAATTCTACATTTGTCCGATGTGTGTTCTGTTCTTGATTTGCAGATTGTGGAAGTTTTGGGTTACGGCATGGCCATGGTCCTCTATGTTTACCTGATCACATTGGTGTTCGGGAGGAAGAAGATTCATCATGACCGATGGTCCTTCTTCTTCATCTTGGTAAGTAGTAGACATCGTTTCCAGCGGGTCACTTCAGGGTTCTGGTCTAAAGAGGACTACAAATCAGAGAGCATTTCCTGTGAGCCGATTTGTTGGGGCATTTTATACAGATCTAGAGACAGCAAGAAAAACTCTCTGGGATTTGGGTGGTGGCGCTTTTCGAGGTTCCAAATATAAGACTGTGTGGCAGTATTCTGGAGCCTTAGCTGGGTCCCAAAAACAGTCAAAGGCTGAGAGATCCAATCCAAAGAGATTGATCCCAATATGAATGTTTTAAAGGGGTCTACCAGGAGTTGACATCCAACACGTTCCTAGCTATGCACAAATCCTCCTCCATCAGGGTTGAGATGCATGGTGTATGGGGAATCTGGATGGAGAATGTTGGAGTTTATTTCTTTGTAAGCTGTAGTTAGAAGCTCAGGTAAAGCAGAGCCATCTTCATCTGGTTTTCATCAATCTTTGGCCATCCTGATTGGTCGAGGATGATATAGCTGTTGCACATGTGCACAGGAGTTAATTAATCTCCACACCAAGGCTCACCAAGAACGTAGAGAACCGCACAGATGCACTCAGGAAGGAAGAAGTGGAGCTTTTACCACAAAAGAGGCATACACGGGGCTCATCCATGTAGGCAGCCAGAGGGAAGCAGTAAAAGTAGGCAGCTGAGCAGTGGTTTCAAACCCCCCCCCCAACTTTCCAACTAAATGAAGCAATGCATCTGCTCAGGTCTGCTCAAGTGAATGGGGCAAAGGCACAATCACGCTGCAACTGCATGTGGTTAGGGTGCAGTTGTTCTGCATTCTGAGGGTTAAAGAAGGCAATGAGGAGACATATTTCCTCCTCACTCCGAAAATTGATCTCCTGCAGCAGTAGAGTCTCCCATGTGAATGAGCTCTGAGGCACTCTTGCAACGGCTGGCGTGGATGCTGCCACAATACGCACAACAAATCCTCAAAGGTCGTGCAACACCTTCATTAGAAATACCGGCACATGTGCCAAGTTCAAGATTTTAAAAACATGCAACAATTTTATTTTCTGTCGATATTGCCGTGACTGATTCAACAAGGTACGCCGCCATATTGGATCTAAAAGAGTGGAGTATAGCAGAAACCTCTTCCAGTTGTGTGGATTTGTTCTTCCAAAGGCTGTAGAGTAATGAAATAATAACACGCGCTAATAAATAATAGCATACAGCTAAAATATATCGTTACAAGAAATGATATGGAATATTACCTGGATATTTAGATAGATTAAATGACTAGTGTACAAAAACTGGCATGTACAAAAATAAATACCATTTAAAAATGGCAAATTCATGAAGAAACGAATATACAGTGGATGCTTGTAATCGGCCTCAATGATGTTGGATTGTATGTTCCGATCCCCCCATGACATCAATTGTGACGAAACATGTCGGAGGGAGCTAACAATCTGACATCAGGACGCACACCGAGTAATAAATATATTGTACACAGTGCACAATGCGTAAGACCTTCCAGGTGTGTGGACTTGTTCTTCTGAGGTTATACAGTAATGAAATGATTCTATGCTCTAAAAAAAATAATATTATACAAAATACAGTATTTGTAATGAATATATTTTGAAATATTCTATGTACAGTATATATATATAAATAAACACACATACACTATATTGCCCAAGTATTGGACTTTCCCCGCACATGACCTTTAATGGCCTCCCAGTCTTAGTCTGTAGGGTTCCTTATTGAGTTGGCCCCGCCCTTTCCTCACACATGACCTTTAATGCCCCCAGTCTTAGTCCATAGGGTTCAATATTGAGTTGGCCCCGCCCTTCCACACACATGACCTTTAATGGCCTCCCAGTCTTAGTCCATAGGGTTCTTATTGAGTTGGCCCCGCCCTTTCCACACACATGACCTTTAATGCCCCCCAGTCTTAGTCCATAGGGTTCAATATTGAGTTGGCCCCGCCCTTTCCACACACATGACCTTTAATGCCCCCCCCAGTCTTAGTCCATAGGGTTCAATATTGAGTTGGCCCCGGCCTTCCCACACACATGACCTTCAATGGCCCCCCAGTCTTAGTCCATAGGGTTCAATATTGAGTTGGCCCCACCCTTTCCACACACATGACCTTTAATGCCCCCCAGTCTTAGTCCATAGGGTTCAATATTGAGTTGGCCCCGCCCTTTCCTCGCACATGACCTTTAATGCCCCCCAGTCTTAGTCCGTAGGGTTCAATATTGAGTTGGCCCCGGCCTTCCCACACACATGACCTTTAATGGTCCCCCAGTCTTAGTCCATAGGGTTCAATATTGAGTTGGCCCCGCCCTTTCCTCGCACATGACCTTTAATGCCCCCCAATCTTAGTCCATAGGGTTTAATATTGAGTTGGCCCCGCCCTTTGCAGCTATAACAGCTTCAACTCTTCTGGGAAGGCCGTCCACAAGGTTTAGGAGGGTGTCTATGGGAAGGTTGGACCATTCTTCCAGAAGCACATTTGTCAGGTCAGGCACTGATTGATGATGTCGGGGGGAGGAGGCCTGGCTCGCAGTCTCTGCTCTAATTTATTCCAAATGTGTTCTATGGGGTTGAGGTCAGGACTCTGTGCAGGACAGTCAAGTTCCTCCACCCCAAACTGGCTCCTCCATGTCTTTATGGACCTTGCTTTGTGCACTGGTGGGCAGTCATGTTGGAACAGGAAGGGGTCATCCCAAAAAACTCTTCCCACAAAGGTGGGAGCATGAAATTGTCCAAAATGTCACCTTAAGAGTTCCCTTCACTGGAACTAGAAGGCCGAGCCCACCCTTGAAAAAAAACTCCACACCATAATCCCTCCTTCACCAAACTTTACACTTGGCACAAAGCAGTCAGGTAAGTACCGTTCTCCTGGCAACCGCCAAACCCAGACACGTCCATCAGATTGCCAGAGTGGAGCGTGATTCATTGCTCCAGAGAACACATCTCCACCGCTCTAGAGTCCAGTGGTGGCATGCTTTACACCACGGCATCCGAGTTGCATTGCACTTGGTGATGTAAGGCTTGGATGAGTGGCTGTTGTTCCCAGTTGCTTCCACTTTGTTATAATCCCACTAACAGTTGAGCGTGGAATATTTAGTAGCCAGGAAATGTCATGGATGGACTTATTGCCCAGGTGGCCACTTATCACTGGACCACGCTTGGAGTCACTGAGCTCCTGAGAGCGACTCATTCTTTCACCAATGTTTGTAGAAGCAGTCTGCATGCCTAGGGGCTTGATTGTATACACCTGTGTCCATGGAGGGGATTGGAACACCTGAATCACATGATATGGAGGGGATTGGAACACCTGAATCACATGATTCGGAGGGCTGGCCCAATACTTTTGGCAATATTGCGTATATATATATATCTATATATAACTTTTTTTTTTTCTTTGCAATATCGTACTTAATTAAAGTATTAGGGGTAAAGTGTGATATCTGTAGACTGATCACGTGTTGCTTTTTGATTTTTATCATGGCTGACATTCTGACGTCAGGTCACATGGATTTCTCATCTCTTGCAGTCCTGTATTCCCCCTATATTCTACGTGCTAATTCGAATCTTCAGTGCGCCGTTGGACAAAACCTATTTCATCTACTTGGTCTTGGTGCCGCCCAGCAATTTGATGGCGTTTTTTATCGTATTGGTGAGTGCTGGTTTGTAGGTTGTTATCGCATACATTATTACAGTAAAACATGGATATGCCAGCAAAAAGGAAAAAAAATTGTAGAAGTTAATAAAAAGAAATTTTGGCAGGGGTACCAAGGAAACCATTTATTGTTACCCACAGCAAGTTATCTGGGAGAAGTTCTAAATTTAAAGGGGTGCATTTATATAAACATTTGCTTAGCTGTTCATCCATTGAAACCTCATGTAAATTCGCTCTGTGCAAAATCAAATGTTTCCATGCTATATTCTCTGAAGATCGAATTTATGAATAGGAAAAATAAAGCATTACGGCCACTAGATGGCCCTGAGGACCATACATATTTCCAATCACAGTCAGCGCCATCTATTGGCCGTACAATGTTATGGCCACTAGATATGGTGATGAGGAGCATACTTTTTTTTGTCAGTGCCATCTAGTGGCCATACTGCATTAAGACCACTAGATGGCGGTGACTAAAATTGGAAATAGGTACGCTCCTCAGCGTCACCTAGTGGTAGTTCAGCATTCATAGATTCGAATTGCAGAGTATATAGCCTTGAACTATTTGATTCACACAGAATGAATGTACATGCAGTTTCAATGGATGAACAATTATGCAAATATTTTTTACATATGCACCCCAAAGTGTATACTGTATAAACTTGGTTCTTTAGTTAAGGAATAGGGGATGCTTAGAACCCATTGGGGAGATTTCTCTTCACTTGGAGACACCACAAGATTGACTGGAATTCTCTCCAAAACATGCATATTTCCCATGTATCACCAAGACAGGGGTCCCCGTTAGACTTCCCTACATTCCTGTTGTGGTGACAACTCAAAATGCTGAGTTTCCCATCACTTCTTGTCTTGGTGACAATGGTCATCTAGCTAGAGATACACTTTAATCAAGGATTCTCAATGGTGGACTTTAGCATGATAAGATAGGAAATGTTTGTATAAAACAATAATGTTCTATTCTTTTCCTAGCTGTATCTTCATCAAAGTTCTGACCCTGATCTGACATTTGTGTATGGCTTCTTGGTGACTGTAAGTAACGAAACACTCCGATCAAAATAAAAAATACTACAGAGAACAGAGGCACTTGGTAGAAAACTGAGCAGCATTGGTGTCAGTTTCCACCATAATAGCCCCGAGGACTGGTGCCAGTTTCTGCAATAATAACCCGTACATTGGTGCCAGTTTCTGCAATAATAACCCCCAACATTGGTGCCAGTTTCTGCAATAATAACCCCCAGCATTGGTGCCAGTTTCTGCAATAATAACCCCTAGGACTGGTGCTAGTTTCTGCAATAATAACCCCCAACATTGGTGCCAGTTTCTGAAATAATAACCCCCAACATTGGTGGTAGTTTACGCAAAAATAACCTCCAGAAATCGTGCCAGTTTCTGTAATAAACCCCCCATCATTAGTGTCAGTTACTGCAATATTTAACCCACTGCATTGGTGTCAGTTTCTGCAATAATAACTGCCGGCATTGGTGTCAGTTTCTGCAATAATATCCCCCAGCATTGGTGTCAGTTACTGTAATAATAACCCCCAACATTGGTGCCAGTTTCTGCAATAATAACCCCCAGCATTGGTGCCAGTTTCTACAATAATAACCCCCAGCATTGGTGTCAGTTTCTGAAATAATAACCTCCAACATTGTTGTCAGTAGCAGGATTGGTGTCAGTTTATACACTAATAACCCACAATATTGGTGTCAGTAGCAGCAATAGTAATCCCCAACATTGGTGCCAATTTCTGCAATAATAACCTCCAGCATTGGTGTCAGTAGCCGCAATAAAACCCCTCAGCATGGGTGCCAGTTTCTGCAAATAATAACCGCCAGCACTGGTGCCAATTTTTGCGATAACCTCCAGCATTGGTGCTAGTTTCTGCAATAATAACGGCAAGCATTGGTGCCAGTTTCTGCAATAATAACCCCCAGCATTGGTGCCAGTTTCTGCAATGACCCTCGGCATTGGTGCCAGTTTCTGCAATGACCCCCAGCATTGGTGCCAGTTTCTGCAATAATAACCCCCAGCATTGGTGCCAGTTTCTGCAATAATAACCCCCAGCATTGGTGCCAATTTCTGCAATAATAACCCCCAGCATTGGTGCCAGTTTCTGCAATAATAACCCCCAGCATTGGTGCCAGTTTCTGCAATGACCCCCCCCCCAGCATTGGTGCCAGTTTCTGCAATAATAACCCCCAACATTAGTGCCAGTTTCTGGGTGGTTGTCAGAATACTGTGTAAAATGACCCGTGCAGATAGTCTACAAATGCCATTGAGTAACATACTGTAACACTGTATTATTACATTTTATTGACTTCTATTGTTACTTTTTGTACTTGCATTTAATTCATATGCAGAAAAAAGGTGTGAAATTTGATCTGCGTATGAAATAAGTTAAGGAAACCTTATGCAAGGTAATACTAAATTATTCTTTTAATAAAATGTATTCCAGTTCAACCCCTTACTGTCCCTTAGCTAATCCTAGTTCATGCTAATGACAAAGGTATTGCTGAATAAACCGACCCATAGTAGAAATGTTAAAATTGCTCTGCTCCATGAGGGTGAACTAAAATGCATGGAGGGCCAGCAGCATTGTCCATGTATGAATTGTGAGAATTTCCACCCCTCCACAAAAGCCCAGTTTTATGGCTCTGTTTCCTCTTCAGCCGTATGCACAGACTATCGTATTCTGGGGCCTCCTGTGGTTCTTGGAATGGTGGATTGGAACCAGAAGTTTAAAACAAGATCCAGTATTCAGGTGGGTCACAATGGCAATCATTCAACTATTTATATAGATATCGTTGTGGATATGGCCACCTTGTTGAACAAATATAAAGCAAAAGTCATAGCAAACAATTCAAAAGTGGGCGCTGACCTCGCTGTGGACTGTGAATAGGACAGGCATTGTCCACCCGGGCCAGGACTGGTAATATACACTCACCGGCCACTTTATTAGGTACATCTCTTCAATTGATTAGTAACACAAATTGCAAATCAGCCAATCACATGGAAGCAACTCAATGCATTTAGGCATCTAGATGTGGTGAAGATGACTTGCTGAAGTTCAAACTGAGCATCAAAATGGGGGAAGAAAGGGGATTTAAGTGACTTTGAACGTGGCAAGGTTGTTGGTGCCAGACTTAGCTGTCTGAGCATTTCGAAAACTGCTGGTATACTGCAGTTTTCACGCACAGCCATGTCTAGGGCTTACAGAGAATGGTCCAAAAACTAGGAAATATCCAGTGAGCGGCAGTTGTGTGGATGAAAATGCCTTGTTGATGTCAGAGGTCAGAGGAAAATGGACATTCAATTTCAGCTGTGACATTCAGATGGCAGAGTCAGAATTTAACAACATTAAAGCAAAGGTTCAGGCTGATGGTGTAATGGTGTGTGGGGGAGATTTTCTTGGCACTAGCAAGGTGGACCTAATAAAGTGGCCAGTGAGTATACATTGGGCTGGCGGCCTCAGGTTGAGATGCTTCACCATTCAGACATGGGGACCAGCAGTCAGTGACACATGCTGGGCATAGTAGATGGTCGAACTTTGGAAACGTTTGTCCAGTTGTGATTCAGCCAAATTTTTTTTTAAAATTCACGCACCTACAAAATTTGGAAATTGCAAACCAATTCCAAACCCAAAGTCCTTTAGAAGTAGAAGGTAATCTGAACCAGGAACAGAGTGTGTATTACAGAGCAACAAATGGTGAAAATATTGGTTGAATGGTTGGGGAAGTCAAGCTAAGAGTGGTCAGGCAATAGCAGAAGCAGATGTAAAGTAGAAACAGCCTTTGAAGAAGCTTTTGGCCCCTTTCTCCCAGAAGCCTTTTGGGAATCAAAACTGCCAAAAATAATTCAGATTTGTCTCAGAAACTCCCAATTCATAAAACTCAATCTGAATCAAAGTTCATCCAAATTTTAGGATCAGCTCTGCTGGGTGTTATATAGCTACCTGCTTCTGGTTCATGCCTGGGATTACAGCTCCTGGCAGAAGAAGGTCTTCCAGATCCAATACTCATTCATGAGACCAAAGCCTGATGGCTACAATGGAAGCCAATGCTAGAAGATGTGAAAAAGTGTATCACAATAAACTCTCCTTAAGGAACACCCCCATCTCGCCATGTCCACCATTCACTTTGGCACCATTGTACATTTTGCATGGTATACACTTTCTTTATTCTACAGAAATCCAACCCCACCAGGAAGGAGCTAGTATATTGTGCTTTCCCTCCAGGCCAATGGTGCCCGGTCCTCTCCTGGATGAAGACATTGTTCTGGGCCACAAATGTTGAGTATAGTCCGTGTCATAGTACTTGGTCCGCCATTTGTGAACTATAACCATTCACATTTACCGACACATTGTACCCTTTTATGTGATGTACTCTACCTAGCATGTGCCGTTGTATTTCTTTTCATTTCTATATGGGGTATAGATGAATTACTGCCAGAACAGCCAACCCTGTGGGTCTAACACTTTCCTCTCTTCATACAGATTCAGGAAGAGAGAACACCCATTTACCCAGAATCCCGAAGAGCTGGACGACGCGGATGAGGACGTCCTGGCTGAGAAAGAAAGGGTTAACACTTTGAAAACAACAGATCAGGAGGAGGAGGTAATATTTTATATATTGCTAAATGCAAATCCCCCACATAAATATACATCGCACTCCTGTAGACAATTTTCATATCACGTCCTGCACACCATCTGAAACTTTGAATCAGGCTGGCAGTGGGAGTGGCTGCCCTGCTGTCTGACCAGAGAGGGGGTGGTGAGCAGGAATGAATGACAGTAGTCCGTCTCATTTCTTTGTCAGGTTACACAGAGCACCCCGTCTATCAGTGTTTTATTAATGCAGGGCTCGACAAATCGCAGGCGTCAGGTTACCATGGCAGATGGAAATTGCGTCCTGGCACCTGGGTTCGCACACTGCCTCCTATTGACCTCAATGGGAAATCGCGCCCCACAGATTTCAATGGCAAATTGCGACCCACAGACTTCAATGGGAAATTGTGCCCTATAGACTTCAATGGGAAATCATGTATCATAGGCTTCAATGGGAAATCACATCCCATAGGCTTCAATGGGAAATCACTACTCATAGGCTTCAATGGGAAATCACTACTCATAGGCTTCAATGGGAAATCACTACTCATAGGCTTCAATGGCAAATCACTACTCATAGGCTTCAATGGGAAATCACTACCCATAGGTTTCAATCGGAAAACGCCTTCCATAGACTTCAATGTGAAATCATGTCCCATAAGCTTCAATGGGAAAACACTAAACATAGGCTTCAATGGGAAAATGCCTTTCAATAGACTTTTAACGGGAAGACACCTCCCATAGACTTCAGTGGGGAAACGCCTTCTTCAGACTTCAGTGGGAAAACGCCTCCCATAGACTTCAATGCAAAAACTCCTGTCACTAGCAATCCTTTGTGAACACTTATCTCTGCATGCCACTCTACTCTATTTCTTGCGAGTCTGGAACGCAGCGCTACAAACTCGCACAGGACCCTTTTCATAAAGACACTCAAAATGCAATGCTTGCTGATCGCATCTGTGTGAACCACCTCAATAGGAACACATAATACCTAGCCTGTCATGCGAATCTGCGAGTTTCAAAACGAATCCAGAATCACATATGTGTGAATCAGGGTGGCTCCATTCACACCTGGACAGTTTGTGATTGCAAAACTCAGGTTCACGTGACATTATTTTCATTGGCGCCTAAAACGTGGTGCGGTTCTGCCGTGATTTTCATGTGCCAAATTGCATCGTGTGAAGTTCAGGGCGCTGACAACCCATGCTATGCTAAAAAAAAAAAATGGCTCCTAACTTTTTTAACTGGCTCCTAGATTCAAAGCAAATTTGTCAAGTCCTGTGTTAATGTAAGGAGAAGCCTACAAAGGGACTGTATGGACCAGCCTTTCTCAACCCTTTTACCACTCAAATGAATTTCCAGGCCTCATGGAACCCATGCCTAATTGAACTAATCTGGGATCAGTGGGAAGAATGCTTCCCCTATAGTGTTGGCTTTGCCAAGTGGGGGCGGTCCCGGAATTATGCCGGCACCATCAAATGGGGAGGTCAATCAGCCAGGATTCAAGGACCACCTGGCAACCTATGGGGGACCCCTAGGGTTCCATGGATCTCTGGTTGAGAATGACTGGTCTAACCTTGACCTTGACGTGTAACTCTGCAGAAAACAATATTTATGGAAGTTACAGATTTTAGTAATTTTGTAGCTGTCATAAGACTAGGCTTGTATTGGCCTATTTTGAAATTTTGTATCAACTACAAATGTCACGGAAATCAGATTTCCTTCAGAATCCAATGACATATTGAATTTGCGTTGTTACTCTTTAAGAAGCCAACCATCCTTGTGGACAGTTTGCGGAAAGAGTTTAAGGAGAAGTCAGGCTTCTGTAGACTCTTCAGTAGACTCTTCAGGAAGACGAAGAAGAGAACGGCCATCAGTCACACCTCGTTCTGCGTCAAGAAAGGTCAATATCTCTTCATTTCTATTTATTTTAATGACGTGAAGCCAAAACACCCATGTATGGCTGGAAATGTGCACAATGACCTCTACAGTCTGATTTTATTCCTCCTAAAAGCAAAAGAGGGTTCATGTGACAGTGCGGGTCTGCTTGTCAGATATACAGTTGCAAGAAAAAGTATGTGAACCCCTTTTTACGTGGAGTTTTGCATGAATTGGGCATAAAATGTGCTCTGAACGTCATCTAAGTCACAACAATAGAAGAACACAGTCTGCTGAACATAATACTACACAAACATTAGATGTTGCCATGGTTTAATTGCACATAACATGTAAACATTCACAGTGCAGGGAGGAAAAAGTATGTGAGGCCCTAGCTTAATGACTTCTCCCAGAGCTAATTGGAGCCAGGAGTGAGCCAACCTTGACTCCAATCAGTGTCATGATATTGGATGTGTTGCTGACAGCTGTCCTGCCCTTAAAAAACACGCACCTGTTTTGGGTTTACTGGTTTCAAGAAGCACTGTCTGATGTGAACCATGCCTCACAGAAAAGAGCTCTCAGAAGACCTGTAATGAAGAATTGTTGACTTGCATGAAGCTGGAAAGGGTTACAAAAGTATCTTCAAAAGCTTTGATGTTCCTGTGTCCACGGTAAGACCGACTGTCTACAAATGGAGAAAGTTTAGCACTGTTGCTACTGTCCCTAGGCGTGGTCGTCCTGTAAAAATGACTGCAAGAGCACAGCGCAGAATGCTGCCTGAGGTAAAGAAGAATCCCAGAGTGTCAGCTAAAGACCTACAGAAATCTCTGGCACATGCTAACATTTTTGGTGACACATCTACAATAAGGAAAACATTAAACAAGAATGGAGTACATGGGAGGACACCACGGAGGAAGCCATTGCTGTCCAAAAAGAATATTGCAGCACGTTTGAAGTTTGCAAAAGAGCACCTGGATGTTCCACAGCACTACTGGCAGAATATACTGTGGACAGATGACACCAAGATTGAGTTGTTTGGGAAGAACACACAACACTATGTGTGGAGAAAAAAAGGCCCAGCACACCAACATCAAAACCTCATCCCCACTGTGAAACATGGCGGAGGGAGCATCATGGTTTGGGGCTGCTTTGCTGCCTCTGGGCCTGGACGGATTGTTGTCATTGATGGGAAAATGAATTCCAGAGTTTATCAAGACATTTTGCAGGAAAAAGTACGACCATCTGTCCGCCAACTGAAGCTCCGCAGAGGATGGGTGATGCAACAGGACAATGACCCAAAGCATACAAGTCATTTAACAAAACAATGGCTGCAACAGCACAGAATACGCCTTCTGGAGTGGCCCAGTCAGAATCCTGACCTCAACCCAATTGGAATGCTGTGGCATGACCTTAAGAGAGCGATTGTGGGGACATCCCAAGAATATTGCTACACTGAAACAGTTTTGTGAAGAGGAGTGGTCCAAAATGACTCCAGATCGTTGTGCAGGTCTGATCTGCAACTACAGGAAACGTTTGGTTGAGGTTATTGCTGCCAAAGGAGGGTCAACCAGTTATTAAGTCCAAAGGTTCACATACTTTTTCCTCCCTGCACTGTGAATGTTTTTTACATGTTATGTGCAATTAAACCATGGCAACATCTAATGTTTGTGTAGTATTATGTTCAGCAGACTGTGTTCTTCTATTGTTGTGACTTAGATGACGTTCAGAGCACATTTTATGCCCAATTCATGCAAAACTCCACGTAATCCCAAGGGGTTTCACATACTTTTTTCTTGCAACTGTATGTTCTCTTTTTCCACGATTTTACATCACCATATGTTTCAGATTTAAAGTCTAGAATGATGGAGGTCCTTTAACCCTTAGACATCCAGATCTTTTCTTTCCAGTGCAGCAAGAGTCTGATTGGTTGCTATGAGGAAAACAGACAGTCTTTCTTTCACAGATTAATAAATATCACTGTATCATTTTTATCTTTAATTTCTCATTTGAAGGTGAAGTCCTGGGACTGCTGGGCCCCAACGGAGCCGGCAAGACCACATCTGTGCTGATTCTGGCGGGGGAGATGAAGCCGACAGCTGGACAGGTGAGACATGAAAAAGGTTCAAAGTGGAAGACTTCAGGGCTCAAGTATGGGGGTGCTGGAGGAACATCTTGCCTCACTATAGTTATGGTGAGATCAAGGTAAAAGGTTTTCTGGAAAACACAGCACCACCACAATGAAATCAGTAAACATTACTGAATATCAATAATGCATCTAACAAGAACATGATTAAAACAGCAAAAGACCCCAGAAATGTAAACATTCATTTCATAAAAAAGGTTAATAACCCTTCATACTGTAGATGGCTGGTTCAGCATATGATTCACCTAACCACATTTCCTTACTAATTTTATGGTGGTCCTTGAGAAAATGGCTTCCCCTACAGGTGGTTCTGGGCAATGCAGGAAACCCCCACAGGAATGAAGACTCTGCAGCCTTGGGCTACTGTCCCCAACACAACCCTCTGTGGCCCAACTTCACTGTGAAGGAACATCTGGAGATCTATGCCGCTGTGAAGGGCATGAATAAAGAGGACACAAACCGCGCTATCAAACGGTGAGTTAACTTGTGCACCAAACCTTCATCATGATGGAGCTCAGGAGTTGTCGGACTCCGCTTCCTCTGCTCTCCTCCATATTGTTTGTCCTTGACAGTCCAATGCACAATGATGTTAGCTCCACCGTTCTGATTTTAGGTTATAGGAGAAAAAAGGGCCTAAAATGCACACAAACATGTACAGACTCAATGCAGATAGTGTCCTTGTCAGAATGAAACCCAAGATGTCAGCACTACAAGGCTACTGGTAGCTCAGATCTGGTGTAGCTATGGCAAGCCATCTGTGTACAAGCATTACGTTACAGCCATTTTCCTTATAAACCTCTATCTCTACATCTTAACAAACCTCACAGGTTAATAAATCCTAACTAGATAGTTCTTCTCATTCTGTCTCCATAATTTGGTCTGCAGGGTGAGTGAAGCTCTGGAGATGAAGGAGCATCTCAATAAACCAGCCAAGAAGTTGTCAGCCGGGGTCTCCAGAAAGGTGAGTTGTTTTCCTGTGTTGATAGTATGTTCAGTGGAGTAGATGGTGTTGAGAAAGTCTGAATGTCTGAAGAGGATCTGCAGAGCTAACCAAGGCCATACCCTCATAGATCCCAACTTCACCACGTCTTGATTGGCTGGTCTTTTCCTATCTCCATCCATTATGCCCTCTTAAAACCATTGTAGCTGGAGCTGTAAAGGAGGGTTACTAGGGTTGGTGTCACCTGGTGCAGTAAAATGAGGTGTCAGCCCCCTCCAATAATTCTATTCTCATATAACACTGAGAATATATAATGGCTTTGGTGTCTTTGGATGCAATAATAAACCCCTGCATTGGTGTCAGTGGAGGCAATGATAAATCCCTGCTTTGGTGTCTTTGGATGCAATAATAAACCCCTGCATTGGTGTCTTTGGATGCAATGATAAACCCCTGCATTGGTGTCTTTGGATGCAATGATAAACCCCTGCATTGGTGTCTTTGGATGCAATAATAAACCCCTGCATTGGTGTCTTTGGATGCAATGATAAACCCCTGCATTGGTGTCTTTGGATGCAATGATAAACCCCTGCATTGGTGTCTTTGGATGCAATGATAAACCCCTGCATTGGTGTCTTTGGATGCAATAATAAACCCCTGCATTGGTGTCTTTGGATGCAATGATAAACCCCTGCATTGGTGTCTTTGGATGCAATAAAAAACCCTGAATTGGTGTCAGTTGATGCCATATTAAATCCCTGAATTGGTGTCAGTGGATATTATAAAAAAAAAAAACCTCAACATTGGTGTCAGTACTATTAACCCCAACCTCCACTTTGGTGGTCAGTGGAATTGAAAATTATCTCCCCATGACCACCACTGCAGGGGGAGGTGGGTTAACTTTTGATGTATGACCACAAATGCAGAAGGAGGAATGGTGGGTTAAAATTTCATTGATAAGACCACCAATGCTTAGTGAATAGGCGATGGCGAATTAACTTTCACTCCCACTGACTACCAATGAGAGGGGCAGTGGCAGTAAATTGCCATCTTGCACTGCTGGTCAAGGCAGTGACATTTTAACCCACCAACCCCTCATCTGCATTTGTGGTCATACAGGGAAAGTTAACCCACCTCCCCCCAGCCTTGGTGGTCATGGGGGGGGGGGTTAAATTTAAATGCCATTCAATCCTAGCCTCCTACACCGTCCAGTTCTTGACCACTTACCTGATTAGAGGTTCCCATGCTGCTCTTCCTCCCTCCAGTCCAGGACTTTGCTTGTACTATGGGTGCAGATATCTCCTCCCACGTTACATGTTCCTTTCATTGCTGGGTGCTGGAATGTAGAGAACATTCTAGTGGCCAGCATCTTGCTGCATGCTTGGCTTGTTCTGGGCACAAGGGATGTTGGTAGACATAAATACTGTTGTCCCCAAGGCTCGGATCCCGGGACATAGCTGTGGGACAGCTGGCAAAGTGGCAAGTATGCTCTCTCACTGCTTTGCATATCAGTGCATGGAGAAGACAAACTTCAGCACTGTGGATGGTTGCTTTGGGGGATGTTTGAGCCCCTGACCCCCCCTTATCTACACCCCTGTACTTTATGGTGTCACCTCTCTGGCAGGTGTCACCCAGGTGCTGTTCGCACCTCCATAGCAACACCACTGCAATAATATTGCCAATTTTGTATCATTTAGGCCAACATAGTTGAAGCCCGAATTAGCTTTTTGGATCTTTTTTGTTCTTTAGGTGTGTTTTGCCATCAGCATGCTGGGTAATCCCACCATCGTTCTCCTGGATGAACCTTCAACTGGTCTGGATCCAAAAGGACAACAAAGACTTTGGTGAGTCCTATCACAAGTTGATCAAGGAGCGAACACCTTAAAGGGGTTGTCTGATTTTTATTGCAACAGGATGCATGGGCTTAATTGGTTGCAGCATCCGTTCCTGTACACAGCAAGGCCAGGCTTCATCCATGTTCATGTATTTGTTCTCGCAAAGTCACAAGTGTATTGATTGGAGTTTCTTGCTGCCACATGACCTTCTGACATCAGACTGGGCACAAGAAATGAGATGAGCACTCCTAATTTTTGTGTGTGTGGTTGTAGCATTACTGCACATCAGCCTGATCTTGTAGTCACGTCTATCTCCCCCAGATATGGTATTGATTTAAATCCTACAACACATGTACTATATTTGGAGGTTTATATATCAAAGTATGACACACTAGGCTTCCTTGTGTAGGAGAGCCATCCGAGCGGCCTTCAAGAACAGGGAACGGGGCGCCATCCTGACCACACACTATATGGAGGAGGCCGAGGCTGTGTGTGACCGCGTGGCAATCATGGTGTCAGGAAAACTCAGGTGAGAAGGAATGCCTTATGAAGAAGTGAGTCAGGTGAAACATTTAAGAAGCCAGTAATACATGGAGGAAATCAGAATTTCTTACATGGTCTCTACAGCGTTGATCTGGTATACCTCTGTCATGGGTTGGACCCCACCCTGTAAAGCTCAAAAACATCATGGTAGAGACATGAGGAAGGATAATGTAATGTAGGATTACTTAGCTCCAGTATAATGGAGGTTGGAGATGGAGACCTCTCTGCAGACATGAATTATTGGCAGATAAGTTAAACAAAATTCTCCATATTGTGGCTAAATTAAGACTTTTTTATTTTGGCATAAATAAAGATTTTGGAATGTGTTTAACAAAAGAATTGATAACACAGAAAAGGTAACACCAGAATAAACAATTTTCTGGTCTATTTGTTGCCATTTAGAATCATTATTTTGGATGTAAAAGTTGAGAAAACCATTGGCCCCGCTCATTATTTATCATAGGAACATTAGAACAGTTGCTGGGTTCCCCTTACTTCTTATTTTGGAATGGGTTAAGGTGTATGTATAGCCAAAACATTTTATTTTTTTTGTTTTTGGAGTGTAGAGAAGGGTCAAAACCCCTACCAAGTTATTTGTTGTGTGTTGGGGGGGGGGGGGGGGGTCCCCTCACGTCCTGTTTTGGAGATGCAACTGGAAGTGAGAGGACATCTCCCCATAGAGGGTGTTGGTTTCCCTTCTAGGCAGTTGTCACCAAAACATTTGTCCCCATCAAAAGATTTGCCCTCATCTCAAAATTCATACTTACTTCCTGTAGTGATGACAAAAGTCACCAAGACAAACAGAGGGTGAATCTCTATGGACCACAAAAAAACATAGTTGAGGGTCTCTTTCCTACTCTATCAAATACTTAAAAAATTAGCGTTTCCATATACACCTACCCAGTATTTCTCCCCCAGATGTATCGGCTCCATCCAGCATCTGAAGAGTAAATTCGGTAAAGATTACCTCCTGGAGATCAAACTGAAGGACACCCAGCAGGTCGATGTCATCCACCAGGAGGTCCTCCGCCTCTTCCCACAAGCCTCCAGGCAGGACAGGTAAAGTAGCTCATTCTAGGCAACATTCCAAGACCTCCAGTAATGACTGATCCTTCTATCCCCATTATTGACTGATTCTAGGGTCCCCTGTAATGAATGATCCTCAGTATTAACTTATCCCTTAGATTTCTAGATCCCCATTTATGACAAAGCCACAGCGGTAAGGGACCCCTAGATCCCAGCAACAACAGGCCACAAGTGATAACAGATCTGGAGATCTTCCAGATCCCTTTAATAATAGCCACCCAGGATCCATGTACAGGGGAATCTGAAAAAAAAGAAGATAAGTTCTCCTCCGTCTGATTCTTAAACCAAATTGTTTTGTTTCAAATGCTGTTATATGCATTGCCATACCTCCTTGGACCCAATCCGTCCAGACAATACCTGCTGACATGGCACCATCCACAGGCAACTTAGCTCTTCATTAACTAAGACACAGAAGTTTGATTTTTTCTTAAGCTAAATGCATTTTCTATGCATTTCAGCTAAATTTTCTAAGCCCTGTCTCTGCGAAGTACTAAGGCTGACTGAGAGAACATGGAAGAAATGGGGATGGTCCAGCTAGGACTGAACTAACTAGCACTCAACAGGAGGAGAGGACAGAGGGAGATATCAAAATCACATAGTAAAATGTTATAGTGGTCCAAAACCCCACCACTAGATGTCAGGATACTACAGATCAACAATCTGATGCAGTTCAATATAACACATAAAATATATGAAATTGGGTCGGAAAATAAATACTGCATGGTTGTGATGGACGACACTTGTTGGGTTCAGTGATTGGACATTTCCATTGAATGTCAGTCTTTACCCTGCAGGTTCTCCTCTTTGCTGGTCTATAAGATCCCAATGGATAACATCCAGTCTCTGTCCCAGGCCTTCCTTCACTTGGAGAATGGTAAGATTATACAGCTGGTAATGGAGATGAAGATGTGAAGGACCTAACAGGACGGTACGAAGGTCGGTGATCTTTGTGTATTTTCTTTACACAGCTAAACAAACGTATCACTTCGAGGAGTACAGCTTCTCCCAGTCCACCCTCGAGCAGGTAATGGCACTGATATCCAATGAACACTGACAATCATGGGTACAAAATCCCCACTTTCCTGATGTGGTTTAGATTTGCTTGTACTCTTTGGGATTTCCAGGAAAGGTCTCTGGGGACAGCAGGGGCAAGGACAGAACTCAGGCTTTATCTTTACTAACTTGCTTGATTTTCCTGGCCATGTTCATAAATCTAAGGTGTGCTAGGAAGGTTCTTAGTCTTTATTTGATTACTAACAGGTTTTCCTGGAGTTGGCCAAAGAACAGGAGAAGGAAGACTTCCACCTAGATTCCTCATTCCGATGGAAACAACTGAGGAGCGAAGAGATCTAACATTGTCCAGAATGGGATTATTATCATCATTATTATTATTATTATTATGTGCCTTGTGTGCGGCTGAATCTTCTGCCTTAGAAGTTGCATCAGAGATGGATATCATGGGAGAAGCTAAAATCAAGTCACCTGACCAGCGAGGAATGCATGGCAATTGTCGGAGGCCTCCTTTAGTATTCTTTAAAAGGAAGACTAACCATTATGTGTGCCTGTATACAGTATATACTGACATATCAGTTGTGTGAATATGGAGTCGTGTTTCAGGTGTCTACTTATAAAAAAAATAATTCACATAGCCATGTAGTCAGCAAATCTGCATGTACATTCATTCTCTGTGTATTGGGCAAAAACAAATGTTTCTGGGCTATTGTTCTTATCTGAATGAATATTCTTTTATTATGGGCCATAAAATACAGCATGACCACTAAGGAGCATAGGAAATACAAACATCTTTGTAACAAGAGATACAACGTAACAATTCCAGAGAACACTGGAGGGAATTAGCAAAGAAATGTAGTGGTTACATTTGCCTATCACCATTAACCGCTGATTCCATGTATCTGCTAATTCCCTCTAGTGTTCTCTAGAATCATTGTTGTATATCTTTACAAATTCTTGTTGCATCTCTTTACAAATTCTTGTTGTAGCTCTTCACAAATTCTTCTTGCATCTCTTCACTTTACAAATTCTTGTTGTATCTCTTTAAAATTCTTGTTGTATCTCTTTAAAGATTCTTGTTGTATCTCTTTACAAATTCTTGTTGTATCTCTTTACAAATTCTTGTTGTAGCTCTTTACAAATTCTTGTTGTAGCTCTTTACAAATTCTTGTTGTATCTCTTTACAAATTCTTGTTGTATCTTTACTCTTGTTTATCTCAAATTCTTGTTGTATCTCTTTACAAAATTCTTGTTGTATCTCTTTACAAATTCTTGTTGCATCTCTTTACAAATTCTTGTTGTATATCTTTAAAAGATTCTTGTTGTATCTCTTTACAAATTCTTGTTGTATCTCTTTACAAATTCTTGTTGTATCTCTTTACAAATTCTTGTTGTATATCTTTAAAAATTCTTGTTGTATCTCTTTACAAATTCTTGTTGAATCTCTTTACAAATTCTTGTTGCTTCTCTTTACAAATTCTTGTTGTATCTCTTTACAAATTCTTGTTGTATCTCTTTACAAATCTTGTTGTATCTCTTTACAAATCCTTGTTGCATCTCTTTACAAATTCTTGTTGCATCTCTTTACAAATTCTTGTTGTATCTCTTTACAAATTCTTGTTGCTTCTCTTTACAAATTCTTGTATCTCTTTACAAATTCTTGTTGCTTCTTTTTACAAATTCAGCTTTTGCTATTGCTCCTAAGAAGATAATTTTTGTGCAGAAGACAAGACAACCTAAAGAACATTCCTTTTTGCCCAATTCACACGGAATGAATGTACACACAGATGTACTGGATGAATGGCTATGCGATTTTCTTCTTTAGAGTCCTAAGTGTTTATATTACTTACATTCAGTTACGCTTACATTTATAAGAGACATGCAGGTTTTTGTTTCTTGGGGGGGCACAAATGTTTAAAAAAGTAGAATTTGTGGGGTTTTATAGGCGAGGTAAACCTGGCAAAAAATGTGAAGAAACCTTTTCTATAATTTTGTATACAATATTTTGTAAACTGTCATTTTTATTACCTAAATATACCACAGAAGACTCTCCCCCCCCCCCAAAAAAAAAGAATACATCATATAAACTGAATTTATGTATCAGCTTATTTTTTAAGTTTTTGAGTATTATAGTACATTTATACTGTAAAATAAAAAATAAAATTTTGTATCAATATTGTTCTATTTCTGGGTCCTATATGAACTATAACATAGTAAAACACATCCACCGCGTGCTGAGAAACCCCCCCCCCCACATGTGAGTGTCATCCATTTCCAGTACGTCAGACTACAGCCAGGTATGGTGGAGCATGTTCAGGTTTCGGAATGGAAAGGACAATAGTTTGGATGAACCATTATCTTGTTGGACTTTTGATTAAATATTGCTTCTATCATACAATCATTTCTATATATGGTGGACCAGGTTTTATCATATTATCATTTATAAACATGTTGTACATTTTCCTAAGTATGCCAAATAATATGGATTGCCGATCATAATGTAGAGCAAGCTGCTGAATTCCCATAAAGCAGAACTTTCCCGGAATCCCTGTTCAAGAATAGAAAATGAAACTTCCACAATGTTTAGCTCTGCCTTCCTAGCAACCACATTTGCAGGCACTTTGCCCCCAGGGTGGGGGGACTTTCCCTGGAATAAACAACCTCTGTCCACGGCGAACAGTTCTGAACGTTTGTTTGGAAGAGAATGATAAAGTACAGAGAAAAGAGGTTTACATGGAGGTTGGACATAGTAAGTCATCATACACAGGGGGTGTGGGGGGGGGGGTCTTTTGATAAAGCTGGTAACATCAGCTGTGTAAAGTCCCATTAAAAACCAGAGTTTTTTAGCTTTTTTAGCATTTTTGCATTAGCGTTTAATGGCGTTTTGCCGCATTAGGGGCATTTTTTTTCCGCATTTGCAGGGTTTTTTCTTTACCAAAAGGCTCCATGCACATGGGGTGTTTTGATAACGCTGGTAACGTTATCTGTGTAAAATCACATTAAAAACGTTAGTTTATCAGGTTTTTTTTAGCATTTTTGCATTAGCGTTAATCTGCGTTTTGCTGCATTTAGCGGCGTTTTCCTGCTTTTTTCCACATTTGCATTTTTTTGGTGTTTTTTTTTACCGAAAGACTCCATGCACACTGCGTGTTTTGATAACGCTAAAAAAACTCCTAGAACCTAGTAGTCCTGGGTTTGTTTTCCAGCCGAAAAACGTTGATTCCAGTCTGTGTGTGTATGGACACCGAGGAGAACATGCTGGGGGGTTTACTGGCTGTGGAAAGAAATGTCAAAAGTCAAAAACAGCTGCTGTAAAAATGTCCCGCGTGTGTGAGGACTAAAGATGGGAATACACAATTAGAAAATCGACCGATCGGTCATCCGACAACCGAGAAAATGAGGAAGGGTTGTAACAGCGCAAACACTGCACCCTGGGATCTGACGTCATCACGGCCACGCCGCCGCTACGTTCCAGCGTGCGTTGCGTTCCATCTGGCTTTGAGGGAGGACGTGCATGAAGGCCGGCCTCACCACTGTTCCCCCTCCAGCCACCACGCTGTTCCAGCCGAGAGCTGACCTCCCCACATCGCAGAGAGATGACGGCTCTTCACCCGGGTCACCACCCCACCGTTAACTATTGTTAACCACGGTTTTTTTATGCTTATGATTACATTCACACATGTGAGTGTTTCACATTTAGACTTGAATTAAAAGACTTATTGCACTTAGAGGCGCTTCTCTCCTTTTTCTCATCCGACAACCGAGAGGCGTTTGTTCGGTGGTCGAAATCGTGGCCCACATTAACCAATCTAAAAAAATCATTTGTCAGGCAATACGTAGTGTTGACGTCTTCTGTACAAGTGGAAGTGATGCGGTGTGCGTGTGACCTTGTAACCACGCCCTTCCGGACAGAACGATCGATATACACAACGATTACCAGCAATGAGTATAATATCGTTTATTACATGACCTATATACATAAATAGTGATACATAAAATATAATCTGCACAATTCTGGTCTCATGATCTCATTAGGTCGATCTACTTTTAACATTTGGATTTTTCGTTCGTGTTTCCGAAGATTCCTCGGACATAAACATCCGGGTCATCTTCTGTTGCCACTCATGCGTGATAGCACTTGATAGATTTTTTTTTTTTTTGTAGGACCGTCATACCACTGCATAGAAAATCGGTCGTTCGTATGCAAAACGACTAAATTTTTCACTGTTGTTCAACCGGATTTTTTCGTTCACAATATCGTTATCGGTTAAAACATCCTGCTCATCAACGAAGAGAAAATCGTTCGATCAGCGGTTCCACAAAATTTTTCGGATGATTTTCTTGTGTGTACGGGGAATTAGTGTGTCAAGACTTCACAGATACACAGGAGTTTATCCTGCACTTCTGCATAGAAACCAATCAGCTTCCAGGTCTTATTGCCAAAGCTTCATTGAACAAGCTGAAGTTAGAAGTTGATTGGCTGCCATGCACAGCTGCACCAGATTCTGAGTGCTCTGGTTTTAGTAAATCCCCCCCCCCCCCCATGTCTTTACACGGTGCATAGCAAAACCTTGAAGTGAATCTGTTATATAAAGAACCTAACATTAGCATACAAGCACATAGTATTATCATTTAAAGGGGAAACCAAGGCTATATGCAAGCTATGCTTAAATCCTCCCCCATCCCTTCTAACACCTACACTAACTATGCTGTGAAAGGAACGCACTTCGGCCAGGTCACATGATCTACTCAGTGGCCAGTCTCAAGGCAGAGGAGAGATTGTTAACAACAGCTGCAATGCCTGAAATGGTGAGGTCAGCCATAGGCTTACTATGGGGCGTCCATTGTTGGCTGCCTTTCCTCTACCGAATCAGGAGTAACGCAGGGAGTGCAGGGCTCATGAGTGTTTAACCTAGAAAGGTCATGGGTGCATATCACAGAAAAAATCCAGGGGTCAGGAGTATGTAATGTAGATAGTCAAGAATTCTTGGTCAATGGCTGTCCATGGTCAACAAGCCTTGGTGGATGTCTGTCCATGGTCAAAAAGCCTTGGTCTATGACTGTTCTTGGGCAACATGCCTTGGTCAATAGTTGTCCATGATCATCAAGCCTTAGTCATTGGCTGTCCGTGGTCAACAGGCCTTGGTCAATAATGGCTGTCCAAGGTCATCAAGCCTTGGTCAATGTCTATCCTTGGTCAACAAGCCTTGGTCACTGACTGTCCATGGTTAACAAGCCTTGGTCAATGTCTATCCTTGGTCAACAAGCCTTGGTCAATGTCTATCCTTGGTCAACAAGCCTTGGTCAATGTCTATCCTTGGTCAACAAGCCTTGGTCAATGT